GTTCTGTTAATGTGGATACTTAACTGTTCGTTTTAGTTATTTTTCTGGGTATTATGGATATTTTTTCATGGATATTAGTTATCTCCGTTTGGATACACTTTTGCTTTACTACGATAATTGTATTGTATATAAGTGTGCGTTTTAGTTATTTGTCCAAGGATTATGGATATTTTGCTTAATATATAACTGTGTTTCAGGAACAACCCGGGATGAAGAGAACGAAAATGGTTGCACCGAGATCTCGTGAAGGAGAACCATCAAGGCAGCCGCCACCTGCTATTCCAGAAGTTGAGGAGGAAGATGAGGAAGAAGATGATGATGGAGAGGGAGAGGGTCCATCCGGCTCATATTTCAGATTTCGTGGGTCCACCTATTCCCTCTGCAAAATTATTAAGTACTGGAAAGGAGATGCTGAATACTATGCAGCCTGCAAGAAACAAGTCGAGAAGGCAGGATTCGGGGGCCTATTGGATCTTCGCATGCCGAAGATACCCAATCTCTTCATGGATGACTTGATGGCTGCTTATGACTTAGAAACCAGTACTTTTGTTTTTGGGGAAGGAGAGTCGAAGAAGGTCTTCGACTTCACAGCTGAAGATGTGGCACGTGTCTACGACCTTCCTCTCGGTGGGTTTGTGATTGATTTGACGAACGTGGAGGGGGGGATGGCTGACAGCTTCAGCGAGGAAGTTGGAATGACTTCGAACAGGGCTCGCATGGTTTCTATCAAGAAGATGCGGGAGTTGGCCTGCCCAGCGAACGGTCCCAGACCACCCGTTGCAATTGCTGTCAAGCAATTCTTGCTGATAGCTACTGGTTCGCTGCTCGCACCGACATTTTCTCGGAAAAGCAAGCTGGACTTCGCCCCATACTTAGGTGGGAGTGTTGAGGACGTGAGGGTGTACGATTGGTGCACATTTATTGTCCGTGAACTGAAAGTAGAGTTGACTGCTGCCAAGAAAAAAGAACCTAGTGCAAGGTTGAAATCGCCGTGCGTGTGGGTTCTCGGAGATTGCAACTTCTTGACAGTAAGTCCTAACCTTTTCTATACTTGTTGGTTCAATTGCATGAAAACTAGTGAATTTCGTATTTGAGTATGATCTGCTGGATATTTGTTTAGTCACATAAGATACTGTTTGCATGAAAACTAGCTTAAAATGATTTGTGGATATCAGGTTAGTCACATTCGATTCTGTTTGTGTTGACTCTGGATATTTGTTGATTAAATTGCTAGAAATGGAACTTAACATTTATTAATTGTAATTTTTTTTACAGCTCCATCTGTTGGACTCTCTGAAGCTAGGCGGGTTGCACACAAAGAGCATTCCTAGCTGCCGGTTTTGGTGGAAGCAAACTGTCGAGAGGGCAGCCTTATCTATCCCCTTAGTCAGGGGAAGATATGACCTAGCTGCCGCTCTGCTGAGTTGGGAAGAAGCCGCCTCTCGCAGGCAGCTCGAGCCGGCAGCTAGTGCAGCAGCTGCGAGCAGTTCAGCTCCTCCTCCAGATCGTGCACCGTTGCCCTCCTCGGAATGGTGGGAGAATGAAGATTTGACTAGCCTTTCGCTGGGGCAGGTAAAATGTTTTCTTCCTCCCTAACTAAGATCATGCATTGGTAGACTTGGACGATAAAGTAACCTAAATATTTCACAACATATGTGTAGCTTAAGGGATTGAAGGAAATCATTGAGAGCATGATTGAAAAGTGGGTGGCTCGAAGGGACAAGGTCCAAACGATTGTCCAGAATTTGGAAGAGCAAGAGTGAATATGATGCCATGTTGTACTGTTTTCCGTTGTTTGGTGGGGGGTTGTACTGTTTTCCACAAATATGATGCCATGTTGGAATGGCTTAGGATATTAGTCGGATTTTTCTTTGTAGTTGTGGAATATTTGTTGGTTTCATTTGGATATCAGCTTGTGATGTTTGAATAATGTTTGAATAATGTTTGAATATTTGTTGTTATTTTCAGTTATGAATAATGGTTTGTGATGTTTGGATATTAATTTGATGCATTTGGATATTTTTGTTTGTTATGTTTGGATATCAATTCTGCCAAGTAGAATATTTGTACGCTCTATTCTGATAATAGTCTGGGTACATGGGATAATTGTACGAGCAGTTTGGATATCAGTTTTTAATTCCCGCAAAATGTTCGTTTGTCTTCCAGCTCAAGGTACTAGGTGCTGGGATTGACCGGCATATGGGAAAATTGCTGGACTTTGCAACAAAACTGGGACATATGATAGAAAAGAAGGAAGACCGAGTGGAGAATACTGTTGAAGAGGTGCTAGAGCAGCTTCAAACAGATGTGGTGGAAGACCAAGTGGAGAAACCTGAAGCTAAAATGGAATTGGATGAGCAGCCTCTAGAGAAGGACCAGGTCGAGCCACAAGTGGAGAATGAAGCTGAGAACACTGTAGAGACACCGGATGAGGAGTTGGTTGAGCCGACAGTCCCTATGGTGATACACTACCCATTCCCAGATACATCTTTTGAGGACATTTTGCAGATAGCTCATGAGGCTACTAGCGCTGCTAATGCCGAGGAAGTTGAGCCTCAACAAGATGTGGTGGAGTCGTTCTCTCAACTTGCTTCCACCGGAATGTTGCCTTCAGAGGAGGAGTTGGTAGAAGCGGCTTATAGGAGCGCTGAGAGGAGTCCTGATGTGATTATCACCGATCAGAGGAATATGACTGATGAGGAGAGGGACCGTCTCTACAGCTACACTCCTGAGGAATGGCTTGCAACACTGAAGACCCCAGAGTTCGAGAGGTCGAAGAAGAACCCATATGCTTCCTCTTCAGTGTATTATTTGTCGAAGGATGTGTCGCCAAAGCTCGACCCAGTTGCTCGTCTTATGGTTGAGTTCGTGTTCAGTACCCCTGAGGGTAAGGGCTTGGTGGTGCACACTCCTTCAATTATTCTCGCTCGTCTTCATCTGTTGACATTGAAGCGAAAGGAGTGGGTCAATCTACAAGTGATTGAGGCTTATGGTCATTTCTTGAACGACAAAGTACTTGCCGGTGACAAGAACAAAGTTATCTTTCCGTTCAGTTTTGGTGTAAGTAGGCTCTTCCCTAACACCTTACAATTTTTAGAATTTTCTAAAACTAATTAGTTATTATTTTAATTTGCAAACAGAATCTTGCCTTACTCAATTCTCAAACGAATGTGCCCCCGACCAAGGAGAGACTCAATGGGGTCGCTGAAATGACCCAGCGGAATCAAGTCTTCAAACAAGTTGCATGGGACAAAGTAGAATATGTAAGTGAATCCTTATTCTATCTCGATACTGATTTACGTGGTTGTGGATACTAGTCTGGGTTTATTGGATATTTGTCCGAGACCCAAAATGATTTGTTTGAAGATTTGCCTGAGAATACATGAATTGTTAGTTTTGGATACTAGTCTGGGTTTATTGGATATTTGTCCGAGACAATAAATGATTTGTTTGAAGATTTGCCTGAGAATACATGAAATGTTAGTTTTGGATACTAGTCTGGGTTTATTGGATATTTGTTGGAGACAATAAATGATTTGTTTGAAGATTTGCCTCAGAATACATGAAATGTTAGTTTTGGATACTAGTCTGGGTTTATTGGATATTTGTCCGAGACAATAAATGATTTGTTTGAAGATTTGCCTCAGAATACATGAAATGTTAGTTTTGGATACTAGTCTGGGTTTATTGGATATTTGTCCGAGACAATAAATGATTTTTTTCTATGTTTCAGGTTTTTTTCCCTGTGCATAAGGACAAACACTACCGGGTCTACGCTGCTGATCTAAGGAGTCAGAAGACTTTCCTTCTGGACAGCCAGAAACCCAAGCCAGCAGTGGCCAAGGTGGATCACTCTCCCATGGGGAAATTGATATTTGAGTATGGGGCTGCCTTCCTTGCAAAGTACGACCTCGATTTTCCCTTGCATGATTGGGACTTCTTCATTGCGGATGTTCCTCAACAAGATGGAAACCATGACTGTGGAGTGTTCGCGTGCATGTTCTTGGAGCACTGGGCGGGCCACATTCCATCGGAATACAAGGAAACTTGGCACTTGGACAAGCACGTCGAGCACCAGCGAGCATCCATTGCAGCCAGTCTCCTTCAATGGAAGTACAACAAGGTAAGGAATGTCGTACTTGACGATGCAAAGGAGTGGGCAGCATATAAGGAAAAAGGGAAGATTAAATGAAACTTATGTTTCATGTTTCATGTTGTACTGTTACTGTTGATGTTTATGTTTCATTTTGGGAAGTCATTGGAGAAAAGAAGACAATAACTCTATCCTGATCACTCGCTTTATTAGTATAAGCTGGAGTGTGTTATTTTGGTAACATTTGTACAAAAGTAAACACTATTGTCGTTTAAATTATTGCTCGGTTTATTAGTTTATCAAAGATAGATTAAGAATATCTTTCCTTCAACTAAAGTATATCATATGACCCAAATTGATATCCAAAACACCCAAACTAAAATCTGAGCATATTTGATGGAAATGCATAAAATCCACACAACCAAATACATAAAATATAAAAAAAATATCCGAATGTTTAGAGATAATATTTGTAGAACCAAAACACATATCCCTACATTGCATACTAATATCCTCACCCAAATTCAGCAAGGTAGATAAATATCGTAGCCTGCTTAAAAAATATCTGAGTTTGACAGACTAATATCCACTCCCAAATTCAGCAAGGTCGTCTTCCAAGTCGGTGAGATGGTCATCATGTTGAAAATGGTTTTCCTGTGCTAGCACTTCCAATGCTTTCAATCTCTTTCCATAGACAATCTTCTTTCGACGACGCTCTTTCTCATTCGTGGACTTATAACGTTCCTTGCCGTGCTTCCTTGGATTACTCTTCTCTTTGAGAGAGAGGCCAGTTGTTGGTACATAATTCCCTACAATGTTAGTGGCTTAAGTAATCCGTCCAATGATATTAACTTATACTAATTTACAAAAAATATTCGATACACTTACCGTCCTCGCTAGTTATAGTCTTTGACAATGCCTTGTTTGCCTCCTTGCACACTTTCTGCAATGCTCCCATCCACCTGTTGTACACTTTCTCATCCGCCATTGACAATTTTGTTGCGAGCTGATTAAACATTGCAGTGGTTTCTCGGTACCTCATTGCTATATCTCCTTTTCCCGTCTCATTCTCATGACTATGTGAAGTATCGCCTTTCTCATCAGCATCACCATCACCAACCTCTTTCCTTCTCGCCTCCAACGTCCATCGCTTGAGTATGTAATGATCTGGAATAGTTCTCATACTATCGTTCCCAAACTCTCCAAGAAATCGCATCACCTTAAGCATATGCCGACATAAGACCCCGAATGTTCTAAACATCCTACAATCGCATACCAATGTGGCCGTAGAAGTATCGACAAGAATGACACGTTCATCGCTACGCTCATCATCCTCCATCTTATATGTACGGTAGCTAATGAAGCCATCATCCCTATTATCTTGAACAAGCTCAATTAGATAGTCCTCAATTTCCAGATATTGCTCTTGAATCCGGTGGAAGATATTTTTCGTGAAGATCTTGGCAGCATGTTGGAGGATGGAACTTTTCTCCAACACTATGTAAGGGGCTGATTGTAAGGCATCATAGTCGGACTCAGTCTCTTTGCGCCTTTTGTCAGCCAACAAACTGCATGTATGAAGAAAACCAAATTGCCCAGACTAGTATCCATGACAAACAGAGAAAATATCCAAACAACACAAAAATGTATCCTAGCATCACATACAAATACCAGAAAATAATCTACAAATGTCCTTAAGGGGCTAAGTAATATCCATAAATTTCCAACCAGTATTTGGATAACGTACCCGGTAAAGTGAATGAAAAACTCGTCGAGATTATGTTTCGGTTTCAAGAAGAGTCGCACTTGTGAATTGCACGACTCACTGGCTTGCGTTGTCAACATTCCCGCTGTGAATTGATCTCTCAGATATAAGGAACACCATTGATGACGAAATTTCTTCAAATATTGCATCCATTGGTGGCCATCGACAGTTTCACTACCGGGAAAACAATCCGAAACCATGCTGCTCCATGCCTCATCAAACTCGGCCTCGCTGTCGACGTAGTAGAAAAGATAAGCAAGATGATTTTGGAACTTATGCCAAAATTTCTTGCTCTTACGAAGATTCTTCTTCGCATTCATCAAGATGTGCCAAGTACAGAGGGCATGAAACACATCTGGCCACTCCTTTCTAAGGGCAGCTGCCATACCGGCGTCCTGATCTGTGAAGATGGTCACTGGGAGTTTCCTCTTCATGCACCGACTAAATGCTTCAAACAACCATTCAAAAGAAGGAGTTGTCTCGTCATATAGCAAACAAGCGCCAAACACACAAGTTTGTCGGTGATGATTGAAACCTACAAACATCCCTGCAAAAGACTTGGTATTAAAAACAATGCATAACCAGACAAATATCCATACAACTCAGACAAATATCCAGAAAACCCAGAAAAATATCCAGACAACCCAGACACATATCCAGCAACCCAGAAAAATATCCAGATAACCCAGACAAATACCCAGACAACCCAGAAAAATATCCAAACACATGAACTAAAGGAATATTTCCTCGGTTTCAAATAAATATCCACACAACCCGGAAAAACATCATAATATTTTGAATAAATATCATAATGTCAGAAACAAGTATTACAACTAGGAAAGACAAGTATCCACAACACACAAACTAATATCTACTATTTGTACCCTAAACCCTAAAGTTTAAACTCTATCACCCGTTTGCGTTGTCAAAAAAAATAAGGAAAATAAGTGGTCAACATACCCAATGGCCGGAAGTGTTTATTGGTTCGGAAGGTGGTGTCGAAGGAGACAGAGTCTCCGAAAAGTGCATAATCTTCACGCATCCTACTGTCTGCCCAAAAAATATTGGCAACTTTCTCCTCACAATCTACCTCTACAGCATAAAAGAAGCCGGGATACTTCTCCTTTTGGTCTTGAAAGTAGTCCATCAAGAAAGTCGCTTCGCCACGAGACATAGTCTTTTGTCTATTCTTGTTCAAATGGTTCTTCTGATCACATTTGGTAAAAGTCAAGTTCTCATACCCACCGGCACACTCAGCCAATAGCTGATACGATGACCTAAGGCTCATCCCGGCATTGCGATTTGCTTCAGCAACAAGTCCTTGAGGAACGCTAACGGACTTGTTTGACTTTAATAGGTGAGCATGCTTGGTGGGCTGCAAATCATGATTGTGAGCTCCCATGAAACTGTGCACCACATATCCATCCCTATTCTCATCCCATCGGAAACGAACAAGGGCGGGGCATTCACCCCTAATTCGAGACCTCTTTCTTTTAGGGCGACTTCTCTCTACAACGGAATCCTCTCCATGTTTCTGTTTCTGAACATTGACTTCTTCCGTTGACCCTTCCTTATTACAAACATAATAAAGGTAGGCATAAATTTCCACCACCTCTCCTTCAGAATTCTTCCTTTTTCTCAAATGTTGCGAATCTACTCGAACACCAAACCCTTTCTTGTGAGCATAGCGTTCGTAGAAACGAACACACTCTTCCTTAGTGCGAAAAAAGATGTTATTCCTCGCTTCATCATCTTCTAGGTCCGAAGTGTTGTGAGCTGCGAGATATTTCCATTGCCAGTTAGTATCCAATGCGCCCAGAGAAATTCCCAGAATACGTGTAACAAATATCCATAAACAGTAGTATCCATGAATCTTAAAATCGTATCCCATTTCTCCAAATATGTATCAGTATTATAATCCAACGTACTAGTATCCACAATATTTCAATGAATATAATATATGCCCAGACTAGTATCCACACAAAATAAACATGGGCTACAAACTACGTCCAACAAACAGTAGGTAACAAGTATCCAACTAGCTCATAGTAGAATCCCAGAAGACCAACAAACATTAAAATCACACTAGAATACGTGTAACAAATATCCATAAACAGTAGTATCCATGAATCTTAAAATCGTATCCCATTTCTCCAAATATGTATCAGTATTATAATCCAACGTACTAGTATCCACAATATTTCAATGAATATAATATATGCCCAGACTAGTATCCACCCAAAATAAACATCAGTATTATAATCCAACGTACTAGTATCCACAATATTTCAATGAATATAATATATGCCCAGACTAGTATCCACACAAAATAAACATGGGCTACAAACTACGTCCAACAAACAGTAGGTAACAAGTATCCAACTAGCTCATAGTAGAATCCAAGAAGACCAACAAACATTAAACTCACACCAAAGACATTAAATTTCATTCAATGCTCCCAACCAAAACTCAACAACACAAACTTATAAATATGTCAATCCACAATCACCTTCTTCTTCTTCTTCTTTTACTGTAGCATCGAAGCCAAACCCACAACCACCATCTATCTGAGTCAAACCTTCTAATACACCATCAACAAATTCTTCTTCTTCATGGGACGAGCTCGTTTGTGGAGGATCTAACTCGGCCTCATCATGGATCACCATCAGCAACGTTTCCTGGACGCCGGAGGAAGAAGAGGAAAGAGGCAGGTCGCCGCCGGCGACTTTTCCGTCGGAGAAGAGAAGAGGAAGTTCAGAGAAAAGAAGAGAGAAGAAGGGGTTGGGAGAGTTGAGAGAGAAAAAGTGGTTGTGGCATTAATTGCCCATCACTTCTATTCTTTCCCCAATTTGTTGAAAAGACCCAAAAGCCCACCCAAAACTGATTTGGGCCCACCCATACTAAGATATTCTGGAATACAAGTATCCACGGCACCACGAATAGTATCTCAACAATCCACACAAATATCCAACACAAAAAATAGATGAATATTCAATAGGTACAGAGAAATATCCAAGAAACACAAACAAATACCACAATAATACAACAAACCATCAAGAAATAAATAAAACATATTACAACAAATACTGAAAAATATCCACAATACCCCAACTAATATCAATATTTACTTAGGTTCAAATAAATATCCACAAAACACAAACTAATATCTACTATTTGTACCCTAACCCTAAACCCTAAAGTTTACAACAAGGAAAGACGAGTATCCACAACACACAAACTAATATCAATTAAATATCCAGACAACCCAGAAAAATATCCAGACAACCCAGACAAATACCCAGACAACCCAGAAAAATATCCAAACACATGAACTAAAGGAATATTTCCTCGGGTTCAAATAAATATCCACACAACCCAGAAAAATATCATAAAATTTTTAATGAATATCATAATTTGAGAAAAAAGTATTACAGCTAGAAAAGACAAGTATCCACAACACACAAACTAATATCTACTATTTGTACCCTAAACCCTAAACTTTAAACTCTATCACCCTAATCAATAAAACACTAAAAAAATAAAACTATTATTGTTTTCCCAAGCTGATAATATTCAAAGGTTCCACACAAATATCCAAACACCAACAATAAAAACTAATATTATTTAATAGGCCTTCGGCCTATGGGCCCTCGGCGGGCAGCCCTAACTATGGTTGCAAGCATTACGTGTTAGGACTTGATAGTGTGTAGGACTTGCTAGTGTGTTTAATTTGATGTAAGACACAATATTCCAATCTTTCACAAATTGAAAACCAGAACTCTAAACCCTCATCAAACTTGGCCTCGCTGTCGACGTAGTAGAAAAGATCAGTAAGATGATTTTTGGAACTTATGCCAAAATATCCACACAAGTATTACAACTTATGCCAAAAATTTTGTTAGTAAAAAGTATTACAACTAGAAAAAACAAGTATCCACAACACACAAACTAATATCCACTATTTGTACCCTAACCCTAAACCCTAACCCTGTACCCTAAACCCTAAACCCTAACCCTAAACCCTAACCCTAAACCCTAACCCTAACCCTAACCTTAAACCCTAACCCTAAACCCTAACCCTAAACCCTAGGCCTAAACCCTAACCTTAAACCCTAACCCTAAACCCTAACCCTAAACCCTAAACTTTAAACTCTATCACCCTAATCACTAAACACTAAAACAATAAAACTATCAACATGTGCCCAATCCGAGAATATTTTAAGGTTCCACACAAATATCCAAACACATGAACTAAGTTAATATTTCCTCAGATTCAATTCAAATATCCAAACACATGAACTAAGGAAATATTTCATCAAGTTCAATTAAATATCCACACAACCAGGAAACAAATCAAAATATTTTGAATAAATATCAGTATGTGAGAAACATGTATTATGACTAGGAAAGACAAGTATCCATACAACCCAGACAAATATCAATTTATTAAAAATAACTATCAGTTCCTTAGTAAAACGTATTAAGATCGTTTCAAAAAATATCCACATCACACAAAATAATATTTTCTATTGGGTCGAGGGAGTTGGGTTTTGTTTGGTGTTTCTTTCAAAGCCCGATTCAAGTAAGCCCAGCTAGAACCCTAGAACTAGCCAGCAGTAAAGTAAACCGCTCATAGCGGTTCCCTTTGTGTCGTTTCCATTGTAAAAAAAAAAAAAAAATTGTGTCGTTTCCTTTGGCCGATCGAAATGGTGGAGACTCCTTCGGTTGAAAACACCACGGCGGCGAGGGTACCGCAGGCGCGGCGCCGGCGGCCTTTTCCTGTGCTTCATCCGGATCTCATCGTCAAGATTTTGATTTGGCTACCTGTGGCTTCGCTCCTCCGGTTCAGGTGCGTCTCCAAATGGTTCAAAACCTTAATTTCCAGTCCCGATTTCGTGAAAGAACATCTGAGAAGTATGAAAGTGTTGTCGGATGTCAAGCCGAATTGCGTTGATAGGCTGTTCAGGAGTTGTTTCAACTTCATCGAGCGCTTGGATTACCAACCCCTCGAAGGGAGTCCTCCTGTTGCTGATTGGGGTTTGCACTCGTGGTCGGTAAAGTCTTTATACAATGGCCCCCGGATCGACCCCATCGAGCTTGGGGGTTTGTTTGAAGGATTCAGTCAATTTGAGGATCGGGTTGTTGGGTCATGCGATGGGTTGCTTTGCTCTTTTCTCTGGCGTTACAACCAGGTGGCGGTATGGAACCCATCTTCCAGAGTTATGAGGACAT